TAAATATTATGTTGATAGTTAAAATTTTAAAATAAGTGATGAAAAATTAGTATAACATTTCTAACAATATAAGTTGATTATTTTTTTTTAGTATTAATTTTTAATATTTAAAAATTATATTAAATTTTAATTAATTTAAAGTTAACACCTTATTTATAAAAAATCAACTTTTCTCCCCTTGTACCAACAAATTATTGATAGTGTAAGTCGATTATAACTCATTTATATATAGTAAAATCTTGATTTTGAACCCTAACTTCCTTCGACAATTCATAAATAAATAAATAAATAAATGTATATATATATGTATGTATGTATGTATGTATGTAAAGGGCTAACCTTCAGTTTCTCCTGATGGAAAGCTGGGTTGAGAAGCTTTCGATGTTTGGCCCATTTGTCGCCTTCATAACTTGCAACTCCTGTGGCTAGTAACTTCCATATTGGGTTTGAGGTGGTCTTTGGGAGGTCAATCATTTTGTTAAGTATCTCCTTTATATGTTCTGGGTTCGTTATGAACACCCTCGGTATTGGGCCCAGCCACATGAACGAATTTCTCCCTGCATTTTTTTTTTTTTAAATTCAACTTAGAGTTTTTGGCCACAGGTTGATTACTCTCTTCTGTCCTACTGTCAGTGTGTCCTTCATCCTTATCTAATTTTTTTTTTTTTGAACATTTCATCCTTATCTAAATTAGTTTGATGATTTTACGAAGTAGATAAATACAACTGATTTGTGCAGAGAATTATTCTCTATTTATCATATAAAATCATCTAACCATATTTTGAAGGTGTTTTACAAAATTTTTAAAATATTTTTTTAAAAAAACATTTTTTTAAAGGTAAATTTTTTATCATAAATGTAAAATTTTATTAAAAAAATTTAAAAATTAACTTTTAAAAATATTTTAAAGTAAGTTTAAAAAATTTATGTGTAATTTTTAAAAAATTTATTTAAAAATTATTTTAAAATTTTCAATTTAAAATTTTTCTCTTGTAAGGATGTTAAACTTATGAAAAAAATTATATTTTTTAAACCTGACCAAACACCTTTTTTATGCGAAAGACAAGGTAAGAGAGCCAATCACACCAGAGGCAAGTAAGACAAATGGGAGCAAGGGGAGGGTATATGTTGTTACCGTATTTGTTAATGGTATGATGCTCGAAGGGGGCGACACGCGGTCTGATGTCATCTAACAGATTAATAGGTTTGGATCTTGCTTTTCTGGACATCCTGCTGCTCTCTTTGGAGTCTCCGTACAAAAATCGGTAAGAATTGCCGGAAAAGCCTCGTTGCCTCAGGCATCTTTCGAGCTTCCTCGGCCTCAGCCAAACCCAATGCATAAAACCCATTCCACATGTCAATACAGCAACACCAAGAACCCATACAGCTATTGTAGCAGCTGATGCTTCCATTTTCACAAAAAGAGAGAGAGAGTGAGTTAAGAGAAACAAGGCCGTTTGTTGTGGCAAACAAGGCAAGCATCTTTATAAGGGCTTTTGGGTGAGACACTGAGAGATATATTGGCTTTTTTTTTACAACAAAAAGTAACCTTTTTCGTATTTTATTTCATTTCACTTCATGACACGTAATTAATTCAAAATTTTTTATTTTTAATAAAAAAATTATTATTAAATTATTTAAATTATTAATAATATATTAATTTTTTTAATCAAAAGTTTTTAT